GTGACGTAATCGGCCTTAAAATGCGGCCTTTAAGGCTGCAGACCCTGAATTGGGATACAGCCACTGTCGAGGTGAACAGAAGCGCATGCGCGTTGGTCCCAGGTGCAAATAATTAGGGTTGATTAAAGGAAAAGTTAGAGTAGCATGAAATTAGCCCCCAGTGAGAAGGTCAGAGCAAACAGTTGCCTCCATGTGCTGTCGGCTTCACTCACTTATTTCAGGTACTGGAGCACCACAGTAGCACTGACATGGAAAACTGGCTTTTGTAGCTAATTAGAGGTTAGCTAATAGAATAGAATAGAACTGGAAGCATCCTAATAAACTCAGAATTAATCCATTAAAAATACCTAGGAGCAGCTGCCTGTTTGTGGAAGCCATACCTCTCCAACTTCAATACAGTGGTCAGAGATGGATGTCGCTGTTTTACGTATGTTACTAAAGACCGGCTACATTTATAGCCATTTAACATTTGTGCATGTATATTTTCACATCTTTTTCTTATGTTTTTCTTCTCCCTCATTTTCAGACTCACCTCCAGCCTCATCTCTTTAACTCGAGGCTCTGACAGTGAGCTGGCTAAACAACAACAGCTGGTCACAAGCTAACATTAGGCCAGTTAATGTCCAAGTCCAACTGTGTTACACCCACTTCAAAGAGCAGCTAATTGAGACTAACAGTAGCTAACGCGAAGCTAACAGCAGCTAACGCGAAGCTAACAGCAGCTAAAGCGAAGCTAACAGCAGCATTTACTGAAAAGCTCAGAATAGCTGCAACACCTCAACTCCATATCACATCAGTCAGAAGTAAGGTTCACTGACACCGGTACTGGATTCATTTGACAAAGTTTAAAGCCTCCTTCACAGTAAATAAACATACTGACAGTTGAGGTAAACAGTGAACTGACAGCCTACACTTACTGCAGATGAACAGTGATCATTTGTCTTACACCTGGTAAAAAACAGAATTCAGTGATCTGCAATTTGGTGACATCTAATGATGAGATTAGGATTTAGTCCAGGTTTTAGTCTTGGGTGTGTTAGAGTATCTTTGCATGATTTAATTTGCCTTGAGGTTTAAACCGTAGGTGGGTGGGGCTTGACAGTATTGAGGATCTCCCCTGTCTTTGAAATCACACACATCCAAGAATAGAAAAAAAACACTGCAAATGTGTTTTTATTAAAACCAGAATTTCCATTCGTTTGACCGTAATGATTTCTCACCACATGCCCTCCCCTATCCTAATCCTCCATTGTTTCACAAGCTACCTACATATTAAGAACAACAAGTGCATAGCCACAAGACAGGACAGTCTGTTGCCTTGAGGACTCCCACATGTTGTAAATTACAAACCGCTTTTAACAACATCCAGGATAAACCTCTCTGCATGCGAGTGCACTAAAGCCCTAATGTGTTTGCATGTGTGCTGGGGAGCAGCAGCTTCTCTCAGTCACAGCGCTGCTCGTGGTGCTTGCGGCTCGCCACATCCTCTTGTAGTTTTAGAAAATAAACACGTTGTCCTGACACGCTTAACCGCAAAGGCCCCCCTGAGAGTACACTCTGACCTTCTTCTGGGTTCTTTGTTATTAGTTGTACAAAGACATGTTCTCCAGCACAGGGAACATGCTGTCAAGACAAATGCTGACGGAGTCTGAGCTGATGTTGTTGTTTTGTTGGTGGGATCATGCCGGTGTGTGTGGCGGAAAGACTTTCTTGGTAGGAAGGAAGAGGAGTGCAAAGTGAAAATATATATATATATGTAAACAGATCCTGTGGTGTTTTTGTTGCACTGTGCTGACGACTGAAGATAAAACAACGGTTAACAGTACTGAGACAATCAACATCTGATCTGGTGGTGTTTATATCCTTCGTGTGAGGACTGCATAGTGCTGCCTCTTCCTCTTTTTGTGCAATGAAAGCAGCAACTGTCACTATAAATAATACTGAAAAAACTACTGCTTAAATATGACAAATCTATGTGCAGTGAAACAAAGTCACAGGACATAAATGTTTCAAGTGTTTCCTTTTATTCGTCATTAACAGCTGAGCAGATGCAAAGAAGCAGTTTGTGCATCGTATCTTACTAACTCACCAAAAGTCTCCTGTTACCACATTGCCTGTTTTAACATTATCATTAATGTTAAAGCTCTTATTGCCTGAGAGCGCTCGCTCATGATGCCACAGGCAGAAACAGAAACAGTGCAGGCTCCCCTGTTTCTCACCTCCACGTCCAGCCTTTAAGGGTGATCAGCAGTTCCAGAGTGAAGTAGTGAAGCGTGAGCAGAGGTTTCTTCCATAACACGAGGGCTTCGCGCTCCTCCGAGTCCGTCTGTCTCCCGCCATCCGCAGGGAGCCCCGAGGCTTCTATTGTTCAAGAACACAAACAAATGTGGGCGCACAGCAAAACCATTTATATACTGCTTCACTTACAGAATCATTAAGCATTTTTAGACTTTACCTCCCAGCTCCCCATTCTGCTGCTCCTTTACACCCAGTCGCCTCTGAACTAGTTCACCTTCAGCCCCACGCTTTGCCATCTCATTCACCTGGAAGACGTCCTGCTGAGACAAGAGACGGCGCTTGACCGCAGCGTCACGCATGCTGATCTGCTCGCCAGATCTGAAAGCGCTACTGGTCCCAAACAAACACAGAGTCGCTTTCAATAACACGGAGAACCCCCGAATATTTTCCACTCTCAAGCACGTCTCCATACACACTTGCACACGAGGTAAACAGCTGCTGTTTCTGCTACTCCTGCATCCTGCAGAGCGCCAGTAACCCAGTCAGGCCTGTGCACGACCTAATAAGTACTTTAATTAGTGCTGATACTGGGAGCGCATGCAAATCCTGTTTGTTTTTCTGTGCGGACAACTTTTGAGAAGTTTCTCCCAGTAATCAAAAAACTGTTCCCATCTTCAATATGTTTAAATAATAGATTTAACGGTGTAAGACGGTGTTATGCTTCATGCTTCCTCCCTTCGTTTGTTCACAGGAGATCCACGCAGCATGTAAGTGTGTCACTACAGAGCCTCGTGTCTCTCAGGAATCCGTGAGCATCAAGACGGGGACTCTGACACTGAGGTGTGCAGCTCACCATCTGCTGGAATTGCCAGTTCCTCTTGCAGACACACACACACTCTCAGAGCTTAATCCCTCTCTCTGTGCCCTCGCTGTGCACCTCTGGCTGTTTAAAATCTGCAAAAATAAAATTGCACAGCACGTGCATCCCAGATGAATGTGAAGTACTTCAGTTCAGTGCTTGCTGAAGGTTCAAGGACATGAACACAAATGTATGTTCAGCATGTTTCAATGAAAACACCTCACACTGGCAGCTGTGAATAGTTTGCAGGCTGTTTTGTGCTACTGAGATGTTGCACACCAAAAAATGATGTTCTTCTTATACATAAAGAACTGCACATAGACTCAGTGGCAGATTGCAAACCTTCAGGACATGTGCTCACTCAGTGTTACAACAAGTCATTTGCTCGTTTGCACATGAAAACAGAGCTTTGTCCAAAACCATGCATCATATCCTGTGAACAATCCCGACGATAGAAATCGGTGCCAAACCGGTCTGTTTGTGCAAAACGTGAACTTCTGCTGCCACAGATGTGTGCTTTATTCTGCAGAACAGCTATTTTGTTCAGGAGTTAAACTGCAAACTGTGCGTCACAGCCAGCACGCAGTGAACAGTTTCATAACGACACTTCTGCTTATGTGAGGCTCAGCAGCGCAGCTCCAGCGCCTGATTGCGCAATCGCTTCTACCAAAACAACTCAGACCTGTTGAGTAACTGCGAGGCACAATGAGAAATTCAAGACAGAGCGCACACACTTCCAGATGAGAAATCCAATACGGCGTAATCGATTCACACTTTTGTTAAACACAAACGAGAGCTGCACACTGGAGACAGGTTATGAGCTGAGTGCACAACAAAAACAAAGGCCTTAAATGTGACACCAACGTCTGTTCTAGAAATGCAGGATGCACAGAGCAAACTCACCGTTCAGCTGGAGTCTCGCTGCAAGGAGCTCTGAGCTTTAAAAAACGAACCCTGTGGTGGAGCCCCGGTTCAATGTAGGGCAAGAGCACGCGGCCCCACGAATTGCATCATAACTCGAGTGCAGGGTGTGGTGATGAAGGGGGCCAGTGAGGGATAGAGCAGTGATGCTGGGTTTCTTGGGGGGGCTCACAGAAGAAAGACACACAAACACAGAAAGAGGGAGAGATTTCATCTTTTGCCTGGTCACACCTCCAGAGAGGCAGTCTAATTAAAACTCTATAAATAAGTGGATCACTTTCCTGGAGCGCACTTCTAACACGTCTCAGTCCTCTGCAGGTTTCACATGGAGGCTGCATGAACGGCATCAAATTAGAAAAAAACAACTCCAAAACTAAACGTTGCAGTTTTCAGGTCATAAGTAGAGCCCTCAGCTGTCTGCTGTTTGACTTCCTGTCTCGTCTCATTTGCCAGAGTTAAAAAAAGAAGTTGTCCAGCGGCTCGATCTCTCCCACAGGTGGAAGGTGTTTCTGCGAGGGCTCGGACAGTCCGGCTTTACGGTCTCCTGGGATCTTGTTAAGAAAGCGGGATGATGGGAAGATTCCAGAGCAGGTGTCATTTACCAGCTGACCGCACGACATGTGAAGTACAGCCTCTGCTCAGCATCTGCCTGCACGTGGTAGCTCTGAAATCAGTTCAGTTCATGTCAGAGGTCGTTTAGTTCATATTT